TACGCTGCGGGGGAGAAGCGCAGGTGAGGAAGGGCGTTCTGGTAAGGGCTGTCGGATTAGGTGGACAGACACGGGAATATGGGCGGACGAAATGAGAAGAAAAAATGAAGGAAGGTTGCGCACGTGTGAAGAAAATGTGGATTATAAAGTTCCAACACAAGCATAAAGGGCCATTAACCGGGATCTAATTTCATCAATTAGCAGGTAAACTAATAAGATTCCGAAAGTGGGATCTTTAATTGCATTGATTTTATTGATGCTTTGGTATATCTTCAAAAGTATTTGCACTGCGATAGTGCTCGCAATGAAAGTAAAAAAGATAAAGAATAATAATGGTGATTATTGTTGTTATTATCATTATCATCATAGATAATAACAACAGCAACAATAATAATGATGATAATAATGATGATAATAACAAAAAAATATAATAATGTGGATGATAGTAGTAATAATGATAAGAATAATGATAATTATGATATCAGTGACAGTGATAATAACAATATTCCTACTGATAATGAAAAAAAAATATATAATATGTACAACAATGATAATAGTCATAACAATGGTAATAATAATTGGCGAGACCCGTAGTAATTTCAAGGAAAATATAATGATGACAATAACAAATAAAAAGATACCCCCACCCTCCCTTTTACTTCATCCACCCTTCTCCCTTTCCTCCCCTCCCCCTCTCCCTCTCCCTCTCCCCCTCCCTTTCCCGTTCTGCCACCTCGTCCCACTCCCAAATCTCCCTCCGATTCCCTCCTCCCCCCCCCCTTTAAGCCCTAAATCTTCCTCCTCCTACTTCCTTCCTCTTCCTTCTTAACCCCCCCCCCCCATCACCACCTCTTTCACTTCCATTTTCTTTCCTTCTTCCTTTCTCTTTACCCATTTCCCTTCGCGTCACCTTCCTCTCCTTTTCTAGCTATTGCATCTCTCCCTTCTCCTATCTCTTTCACTTTGTCATTATCATTATTGTTATTATCATTATTATGCGTATTGGCATCATCATCATCATTATAATTATAGTTGATATTATTATTAGCACTATTAGTACTGCTACTACAACTACTATTACTACTTATACTACAGATGAAATATATATCATTATAACAACAACAACAATGATATTGATAATGACAAAAATATAATAATAATGACAATTATAAAAGCAATAACAATTTTGATAATCATCCTCATAATCAACATCATCATAGAAATAATAGCAATGATAATAATAATACTAATAATAGTAACAATGATAATGATTATAATAAAATGGACAGTAATGGTAATAACAATAATAGTGAAAATAATTTTATTGACATTAATGTTGATAACAGTAATGACAGTAATAATAGCGCTGACAATAACAATGATAATACTGATAATGATAAAAGTAGATATGATAATAATGTTAATGATAATAATAGCAATGGTATCAATAACAATGTTAATAATAGAAATGATATTAAAAGTACAATAATAATAGTAATAACAGTTGTGATAATTATAATAGAAATGACAGCAGTAATTATGATAATAATCATAATCAAGATAATAAAAAAATGAAATAGAAAAAAATAATGATAACGATAATGATAACAACAACAACAACAATAATGATAACAATAATAACAATAACAATAAAGATAATAATAATGATAATAATAATGATAATAATAATGATAATAATAATGATAACAACAACAATGATGATGATAAAAATGATAATGATAATAATAACAGTAATAATGATAATAATAAAATAATAATAATAATAATAATAATGATAATAATAATGATAATGTTAATAACAATTATAATAATGATGATAATGATGATAATGATAATAGTAATGAATATAATGATAATGATAGTAATGATAACAATGAACATGATAATGATAATAAGAATAACAATAAGAATAATAACGATAATGATGATAATAATGGTAATAATAAGATGAAAATATTAAAAGTAATAGTAATAATAATAATGATGATAATAATGATAATGATAATTTCGACAAAAATAGTAATAATTAGAATAATGATAATAATGATAGTAAAATAATAATAATGGTAATAATGATAATGATAATGAAGATGATGATAATGATAATGGTAATAGGGATAATAATAAAAATAATCATAATAATAATGATAATAGTAACAATAATAATAATAAAAAAATAATAGATTAATGATAATAGCAATAATGATAATGATGATAGTCATAATAATGATAACATTAACAATGATAGTAGTAAAAATAATAATAATGATAAAGATAGAAATTATAAGAATAATAAGAATTATAAAAGCAATGATGATAACAATAATGATAAGGATAATGATGATAATAATAATAGTAATAATTATAATGATAAAAACAGCTGTGAAAATTATATCAATAGCAACAGCAACGATAAAGAAAGCATTAAGAATAACAGCAACAACAGCTAAAACAATAATAATGATATAATTACTAGAAA